CTGTCCCGAGCCTTTCGCCAATCCGAGGTCCCCAAGACTGCCATCATCGACATGCATTGTGTGCAACAATGCCGCCACGCGCCTGGCAGCGGCTTCCAGAAAGGCAGACCACCGCATGAAATTCATAACACTCGACGACAAGCCGAACAGCATGGCGAATGCAGTCAAGTATCGCCACTCCCCGCTGCGCGGTTCCCGCGCCGCAATGACGTTATATCGCAGCTGCGCGGGATTGACCGGCACGGACCTGTATGCGTCCGGCAGGTCCTCGCCTCCAGTCTCAAGGGTTAAGCCCTCATCGGCAAAGCCTCCCGCCGCAGCTTCCTGCCTGAGGGCGCACGCCAAACACCGGGCCGGACCACGCCCCTTGGACACCGGAGGGGCCCACTAGGCCCACACGAACGGACCCGGGGGAACGGCCCGCGGGAAACCCGCGACACACCGGCCGGCGGGGAGGGGGAAAAGGCCACCTCCGGTGTTTGGCGTACCTCCCGACCGCTGCCTCAAGACTTTGCCATGCAATGCAGGCGTGAACGCTGATGGCAAGTGCCACTTCTCAGGGTGCACCGTCGCGCCGTTCTGCCCACCGGCTTTAGCATCGTCTATCCGCCGACGCTTGCCGTTCTGCTGCACGTGCACGAACGACGGCACGGCCGCCCAGCGCCCGGCGCCGTACTCGCGGTCCATCGCGGCCAGCGACGCCGGAGGAGCAGCCCAGCCCTTCTCGCATTCCTTCAAGCATGATTCCCAAAGAAACTCAGCCTCAGGATCAACCCGTCGCTTGTCCCTGGAACGTAAAAGCGCGGTGGACTCCGCCACCAAGCGGTCTTCAGAAACAGGTTCCGAACTTTCGCACCGCTCCCAGACACCCGTCTCCTCAAATCGCCCCACGATATTGAAGCCGGTCACAAATCTCTGGGCCAGCTGCCAATCCGGCCAACCCATCACCCAAGTCAGAACACAAATCAGCGCGATGTGGGTGTTCTGCGCCACGGCATGTACTGAGGGGCTTTGCCAGAGCCGAAGGGCGCGGGACACCGGCGCCAGCCTTTGACTAAGCTCCTTCAACGCCCCGGCGCAAGACTCGCGCCACTGCCTCAGCCGATTACCACCGGCCCACGCGAACGCAACCGTGGCAAAGGCAGCATACTTCAAATCAACGGGTGCCATGTACTCATCGTCGAATGGCAATCGCCCCGCGCTCGCGAATTCGATGCATTGAGCGAGGTGTGCCCGCTCCCCCACGCCGAGTTCGATAACCGGCGCCAGCGCTAGCCTGTGGTCGAGCACGCCTGCCTGGCGACCCAACACGGCGCTCGCGCGCCCCTTGGAATTTCTGCCCAGAGAACATCCCAGAGGTAGTCCTTCGTCCTGCAGCTCCGCCCAGATGGCGAAATCAACGAATGGCGAAGTATTCAACAAGTCTTGCAAGAACGGGATGGGAACGCCCACCAGCCACTCTTCCGGAAAGGACTTCCGAATTTTCACAGCGATGTCCGCCTGGCTCCATCGCACGCCCACGACGCTGGGGCACGCGACCCCACTGGTGACTGCCCCTTCTGCCGCGGCGGGCGGCGCGGCAGCGGGTGCGTTTCAATCGCCCTTGCGGCCGCGCTTGCCGCCGTCGGCCGCGCCCCCGCTCGCGTTCCTCGCGTCGCAAACTACAACGCCGGGTGTTCCGAACATTCGGCGCTAACCGTCGCCTTTCCCGGACCCAGGGCGCCCCCGGACCCGGGCCGCCCCCTTTAAGCTAACAGGGAAACCAAAAACTGAGACCCGGGCTCCTGGTGCACTTGAGGGCGCAGTGGTTCGACATGCCACACAAGCGCCCCGTCTTGTTGATCACGACGGAACAGACGTGCTTATACCCGCGAGGGCACGGCTCGGAGCACTCCCCGGCGTTGAACTTGCGACACACCTGGGTTCCGTCTTTCAACCGATCGCCCAACTGCGCGCCCTTGCCACCTGTCCGCTGGCTCCGCCCGACGCTCGTCGGCGGCCGCTGCGGCCCGGGAGCTGGCGGTGAGGGCGGGCTCCACATGACCTCGCGAGTCTGCAAGCCCTCGCGGATTATCTTCCCGACGCTCAGCTCGCTGGTGCGGACCCTGTCCGTCCACCAAGCGCGCTCCTCCTCGTCCCGACGCACGACGTTCGGCAGCGCAATCGAGAACGGCATCGCACTGGCGTACTTGACCAAACGGAACTGGTAGGCCATCGCGACATCCAACGGAATCTGCACGAAATCCGTCGCATCCGAAGACGCCTTCCCGGAGGTCCACCAATTGCATCAGCAGCCCGGAAACACTTGAACACTCAGCATCGAACACTTATGTTGGTGGGCGCTGCCCACTGCAACACTCATGCCAGTGATCTAGCACTTGCGCTAATCCTCATCCAAGTGAAACGATGCATTCATATGATGCAACAATACAATGTGTGTGCATTGTATACACATGACACATATTTACACGTTTGTATAAGATTATATACATATTCGTATTTACGTTTATATTTATAACTGAATATGAAACCATGAATATATATATATATATATATATATATATACAAATGGTTTACAAACACATGTTCATACACATATATATATATGTATGTATGTATAAATTGCAACATTGATCACATGACATGATTTATACTTTGTTCATGTCATACATGAGCAACGCTATTGCAATTTGCAACATTATGGGTACCACTTGTATTACAAATCCACGCGATGTGCCTTCATCGTTCCGTGTCTGCGCCGAAAAATGAAACGAATGCGCGCGGCGCCCAGGCGAGAGCGTTCCTTTCAATCGCAAGTGCCTTCCATCCGTGTAGCTGTTTCAAGTTGAGTTATTGGGGACCCCTTCGTTTCATGCGCCTGGTGGCCCATTCGGGTCGGCGAGCCCTGTGCAGTTCGGGTTGGGTGCTTTGCCTTGCCTGCACATCGTCGCCTCGCGTTCCTTCCTCCCATGGCCCAAACCTGGGCCGCGGCTTGCCTCTCTCCGCGCAGGGTCGGGGGAGACCCAGCATGGGCTGCCGCTAAGGAAGCGCGCCATTCCGCCCGAGTTAATGGGGATTTGGCGACGAGGAGGAGGAGGACGAGGAGGAGGAGGAGGAGGAGGAGGAGGAGGAGGTTGAGAAGGAGGAGGAGGACGAGGAGCAGCAGCAGCAGGAACAGAAACAGGAGCAGGAGCAGGAGGAGCAGGAACAGGAGGATGAGGAGGAGGGGGCAATGAGGAACAGAAGCAGGCGGAGGAGGAAGAGGAGGAGGAGGAAGAGGAGGAGGATAAGGAAGAGGGGGAGGAGGAGGAGGAGGAGGAAACCCAAACGACTAATGAACATGCCTATCTTCTTTTTTCGGGGCAGGGGGAACGATGATCCTGGACTGCGTCGGGGGGTCCTGGGAGGCTCGTGGAGGGCGTTCGTTTTTCGGGGGGGGGGGTCTTGGGGGGAACGGCGCGCCACTTAGCGGCAGCCTCGAGCCTGGGGGGCCGAATGCCGCCGTCCACGCTGCCCGACGACGCCGCGGAGACGTTCGCGGTGCCAGGCCTGCAGCCGCGGGGCCGGCTGGAGAGAGCGATCGGGGACGAGATCAGGAGGGGGAGATGGAAGAGACGGAGGAGGAGGAGGCGGCGGGGGATGGGGGGAGGAGGAGGAGGAGAAGGTGAAGGAGAAGGGGGGGAGGAGGAGGCGGAGGAGTAGGAGGAAGAGGAGGAGGACGAGGAGGACGAGGAGGACAAGAGGAGGAGGAGGGGAAGAAGTAAGAGGGAGAGGAGGGGAGGGGGAAAGCGGGACGACGATCAGCCTGCCTCAGCCTCAGCCTGCATCAGCCTCAGCCTCAGCCTCAGCCTGCCTCAGCATCAGCCTGTCTCAGCCTGCCTCAGCCTCAGCCTCAGCCTGCTTCAGCCTCAGCCTCAATCTGCCTTCAGCCTCGGCCTCGGCCTCAGCCTGCATCAGCCTCAACCTGCAGATAAGAAGGGAGATGAAGGGAGGAAGGATGAACGGATGGCCGATTCTCCGAACGCATCGCAGTCGACAGGGCGCGAAGATAAGCGAGCCTCGCGCACCCGAGGCCATGCGTGGGCATGCGAAGGCGCGAAGATGCCGAACTGGGCTCTCTCCATTCCGTGTCCTCCTGCTCTGCCTTGGATCCCTCGAGCTTCGCTCGCGATCCATTTTCGTACGTAGCTGTTTCGGCTTTTTTTCAAGATGTCTCGGCAGATGTGTCGGAGCCACGATGCTCTGCAGGCCATCATCGAACCTTGCGTTTCGAGCCCGAAGTGGCTCGAGTATGGCTGCAGCCCAGGCCAGGACAGCTTCGACAATTTGGCGCTCGAGCGCGTGACCACGCATTGGAAGGCCATTGCAAGTTCAATACTTAGCCTGAGTCTGCTGCGTCGCGTCGGTCGGGGCGACGGGGCCTATAGGCCCCGTCAGGAGCAGGGGCCGTTGCCCCTATAGGGGCAACGGCCCCTGCTCCTGACCATCCCACCCCAACCGACGCGCCCCATCAGACTCACGCAAGGGATTGAATCTGCAGATGCTCACGGAGCTGGAGTCGGTCGCTCCGAACCTCGCCATTGCTCCCGAGACGGCGAGGCGGACGTTCCTCTCCATCGCAAATAGCAAGTCGGCCTGGGAGGACTGGAGCGAGGAGAAAAAGGAGTCCTGGGCCGACAGCATGTCCGCGATGTGGAGGGGGGTTCGATAAAACGCCATGGAAGCCCCAGCCCATGCCCTCCTCCTTCTCCTCCTTCTCCTCCTCCTCCTCCTCCCCCTTCACCTTCTCCTCCTTCTCCTCCTCCTCCTCCTCCTCCTCCTCCTCCTCCCCCTCTTCTCCTCCTCCTCCCCTCCTCTCTCAGCCCCAGGTTGCGATCGATGACAAGACGCTTGTACGACCCCCTGAGAAAGGAAAAAGAGTCTTCCGCGCCGAAGTGGCTCAAGAAGCTGCGCGAGGGAGCTTCGACCTCTTCGAGCGCGCCTTCGCCAGCGGTTGGCAGGTCCCCTGATGCTGGCGCTCGCGAGAAGGGCCCGAAGCACGGCGCGAGCGAGCCGAAATACGAGATCACCTACGACGCCGTCCAACGGATGGCCTTCCGCACGAAGATTGGCGGGAAGACGCCTGAGCCGTCCAAGGACCTCTTCACGGAGGACAGGTCCAACCGAGGCGGGTTCATGAAGGCTCGGTGGGAAGACGGGCACGTCGCCGAGTTGCCGACGCTGACCGTGGCTGCGTGGCGTTCGCAGATGGTTGCTGGCGACAACGGGAGCAAGAAGGAGAAGGCCAGTGTCACAGCGGCAGGGAAAACAGCGTACTTCAGGGACAAGGACTCGCCCGTTGGCGACGTCAAGGTGGGGCGCAAAGGCCTGTCGAGCACGAAGTCAGGCGTCGAGTGCGGCGTAGTCCTCAAGGTCGACGGACAGCAAAAACTCCAGCTCGCGTTCAAGCACGTCGACGAGGCCGAGGCTACTCCATGGATGAACAAGATCGCCAAGAGATTCGCACAGGGCAAGGCCACGGAGCAGGAGCTGAAGATCATGAGGGATGGCCTGCTGAAGTCCCAGGGCGTCGAAGTCAAGAAGCTTGCATGCACTCCAGTGGCCAAGAAGCCTGCGGCGGCCATTGGGATCAAGCCTGCAGCGCGTGAGGATCCTGAGAGTGCAGGTGACGGCGCCTCAGATGGAGGCAGCGGCGAAGCTCCAGCTAGCGATGAGGGAGACGACTACGACAGCGAAGCTCCAGCTGGTGATGAGGGAGGCAGTGGCGAAGCTCCAGCTGGTGATGAGGGAGGCAGCGACGAAGCTCCCGACGACGAAGATCCAGAGGAGGACGCCCCCGAGCAGGACATCGCAGAGGAGATCGACGCCGAGGCCGAGGCGGAGAAACCGAAGAAGAAGCCAGCCAGCAAGCGCCCTGCTGCCGCGCCCAAGCTGACCTCGGAGCCGCCGCAAGCCAAGAGGAGGAGGCCGGCAGCGAGTGAGCCAGTGAGCGAGCCAATGAGCGCCGCCCCTTGCATCGAAGCCACGGCGCAGAGCGCGCCAGGGCAGCTGCCGCCGCCGCCAGACAGCCTGCTGAACGCCTTCGTGGGCCGCGCAAGGTGGGCTGGCGCATTCGAGCCAAAGTAGGGCTTCAGAGGAGGGGGGGGAGGAGGAGGAGAAGGAGGAGGAGGAGGAGGAGGAGGAGGAGAAGGAGAAGGAGGGGGAGGGGGAGGAGGAGGAACAGGAGGGGGAACAGGAGGGGGAGGAGGAGGAAGAAGAGGAGGCGCAGGCGGTGGCGGAGGAGGAGGAGGAGGAGGAGGATGATGATGATGATGATGACGCGCCATAAGGGGACGGTACTCCTGAGACACAAAGACTGAGATGCCACCAATACGCCAAACGCGTATGGTATAGAAGGGGGAAGCGGGCGAGGCGAGAAAGGAAGGGCAGAAAAAGAGAGAATCCCAACCCAAGATTGAAATCCATGGTACTGGACGAAATCTTGAATGTAAAATCACCTGTCCAGTTTTGATAGAGAACATGATTAAGTCCCATGACGCCCAGAAAAGTCGAGTCTAAAGCGAATCTGAAGCGAACCCGACTTAAATTGAACCAAGGATATTGAGTGAAAGAAAACCATACACATTGAATGAAGTGTAATCAGTGAGAGAAGAAACCAAGAGATGAGTAGCACAATCACCTTGCTTGTCTTGAGTGAACCAGACATTGATGTGTAGAGAACTTTCGTTGAGTCCCTTGAATCACAGAGATTGAACCAATACTATTGAATGGATGAAGACCGTCCACTTGAGTGAACCAGATATGGGTATAAAGAAAACTAAAGTTGAGTCCCTTGAAGCCCAGAGAATAAAGGCAGTCTCCCGCTCAAGAAACGCGCTGAAAGAAGCCTAGCCATTGAGTGTCACAACCACGCATTGAACCAGAAGATATGGAGGCATACAAAGAAAGAACTGAAAGGAAGCGAGTGATCCCATCCGAGTAGTCCCACTCCAGTTGAACCAGAATGTGCGGTGAAATTGAATTCAAGACTGCGAAACGTTGGATGCAGTGGGTGGTAGCGAAGGGTATTGACCCACAATCTGTGTAGGGGCGTGCAATGGTGAGAGACGAGAAGGATAGGGGACCTCCAAAGGC